AAAACAACATGAAAATATACACTTAGCCACCATCAACCTGCACACATTATACTTGGCATCAATGTATCTATAGGTCGAAGTATTAGCTCTTGGCTGGTCTACTGACGTGTCATTGACTTGTTTTTAGGAATTACCCACGTATATATTTTTACTCTATGTTGTTAATTAGCTAGTTGAATATTTAATTGTTCTTTAAATTATTGATTTGAGTGTTTAGAAGCAAATCCGAAAAAATATGAAGTCCGAATTTCATAGAATAAAAGCTGGAGGCCTGGAATCGTGATTCCTCTGTGTTGGCAATGGAAACATCACACAAGCACACACATATATATAGTCAAAGCTGCTGACCATCTAGGGTTTTGCAGGTATCAAGAGTCAAAGGATCTAGTCCTAGAGCACTAAAACCTACAAGCTCGAACACCTTATTGCCATATGTAAATATTTTACTCTATACTAATAAGTTGGCGTGCCTCATTCATGAATATCTCCTCATACAAATTATTATTCAATGGGTAAGTGGGGAGAAACTTTGGATAGAGGAGGAGCGTCTTCCTCTTCCTCCTCCTCCTCTTCTCCTTCGTCATGTATATTATAAACCGACCAGCCTGGAGTGGTCCAGCCTTTCACACGTGATGACGCTCCTCCCTGCAATTATTTCCACCACCATCATCAATGCTTTCTTTGGCTTCTATAACTTTGGCCCCCAATTAGCTAGCCAAAAAGCTTCCAATCCTCCAAATCTCATGTATCAAAGTTGTGGGTCCTTCGTTAATATTAAAATTATGATGTATTGCCAAATGTGTGAAAGTATAGTGACAGTGTTCTGCCATTCCTTTCCCTCCTTTTCTATTTCCTTGAGAAAAGGATTTTTTCCGTTCTATCAAAATCTATGATGGCCCCCGTTCGAGGGAAGAGGTCTGTTCCGTTTGGTCAGCCCCAGCCTTTTGGTAGGGTCTCATGTTAGGAAAGTCAAAAGCCGAGAAATCATTTAGGTGGTGGTCAAGTGGTAAGAATTTGGGATTAAGGGGTTTGTTCTCTCTGTGTTCTCAGGTTCGAGTCATTGGTTGCTCATATAATGGCCACTGAAGGCTTACATGATCGTTAACTTTAGAGCCCGTGGGATTAGTCGTGGTGCGCGCAAGCTGGCCTGGACACCTACGTTAATCTAAAAAAAAAAAGTCAAAAGCCGAGGGCTTTGGATGGTTTCTTACACTATATATTTCATAATTTTAAATGTCTTAATCTTTCTTAGTTATAGTGTATAATTATTAAGATTAATCAACAATCACCTTCCATTTTGCTGAGTGAAGAGAGAAGAAATTTTTTTTTTCTTTGTCGTGATATAGTGTTGATTTAATCTACTGAATTTGTTAATTAAACTTGCCTTAAGAAATATTTTCCCTAAACAAACAAATTAAATGGGAAAATGAAAAATAATAAGGGAATCAACCATTATTATTAAATTTTTTTTGCTTGGGGTAAATAATTATCAGATCAACTTCTTTATCAATAAAAAAATAAATTATTTCTCATGTAATCCTAAGGACACATCAATTTGGTATATTATAAGGTATCTAATAAATTTTTCTAGAGATTGATTATAAATTATTTAGTATTGTAATAGCAGCGGCGGTTTAAAATAAAATAAAAAATATAGTAAAATAATATTTTTTTTATTTTAAAAAATTATTTTTGAAATAAATATATTAAAATTAACGGTATGTTTGCTTGGGGTAAATAATTATCAGATCAACTTCTTTATCAATAAAAAAATAAATTATTTCTCATGTAATCCTAAGGACACATCAATTTGGTATATTATAAGGTATCTAATAAATTTTTCTAGAGATTGATTACAAATTATTTAGTATTGTGATAATGGTGGCGGTTTAAAATAAAAAAAATAAAATATATTAAAATAATATTTTTTATTTTAAAAAATTATTTTTAAAATAAATATATTAAAATTAACGATATAAAAATATAAAAGAATAAATAATTTTTAATAAAACATCAAAACGGAGCCTTCCAGCTTTAAAGTCATACAGCTAAGAAAGGAAATAAAAATCTTTAATCTTCAAGCCATCCCTTTAGATTTACCATCATTTTTAAGCATTGATGATTATTAGGATACATTCCTAAGTAATGCCATGTCTTAGAAATGACTAAATGCAATTACGTTATTTTATTTTTTCATGAGAAAACAAAAACGATTCACCCTTTTTTTTGGGGTTCTTCATGCCATCAGATTAGTCTTTTCTTATACCAGATAAATGAAGCAGGCAAAACCCTATTGCTTTCATGATGAATGTGTCAATTAACATGTATGTATTCTCTCCATATTTCCATACATTAGTCTCGCTCCCATGTTTGTAATTGCTTGCCAGATTAAGGTGTGTTTGAGAATATTATGTAAATTGTGTTATAAAAAATTTATATTTTTTATATTTAAAATAAAAAAAATATATATTTTTAAATTATTTTGATGTGCTAATGTTAAAAATAATTTTTTTAAAAAAATTATTTTACCATATTTATAAGTAAAAAGTACTTTACACCACAAACATTATCACCGTATTTTTTTAAATTTTAAATCCTTTTATGCTTAAAATTTATTTATTTATTAATTTTTTTATTGTTTTAATATGCTAATATAAAGAATAAAAAATTATTATTTTAATATATTTTTTAATAAAAAAAATTTTATAAATAATTATCACCACAGTCTTGTACACTCTTTTAACCTCCTCCTAACTCAGTTTTTTTTCTTTTCCTTCCAATTCTTATCTATCAAATCTCTAAGATATCTTCCATTTTCAAAATAATTGTCTTCACTCTTCGGCTACGAGTCAGATTGTTTTTAAATTTTAAAAGTATTTATAAAAAAATTTAAAATTTTTATTTTTTGTTTTAAATTAACATGTTTTGGTATTTTTAGATATTTTGATATATTAATATAAAAAATAATTTTTAAAAAATAAAAAATATATTATTTTAATATATTTTCAAATAAAAAAATATAATAAAAGGAGAAGCAATTTCATTTTTTTCTAGACAGTTGTGTTAACCACAACTAAATATCTTATTTAAACAATCTAATATTGTATTAAAAAATTTAAAAAAAATTAAAATTTGAATATAAAACCTCATTTGTTTGCAAATATATATATATATATATATATATATGTATGTATGTATGTATGTATGTATATATGTATGTATGTATGTATTCTTTTGAAAGGTGATTTCTATAAAAAATTAAATTCTTGAAAAATAGATTTTTTTATATTTAGCAATATTATAATAAATGTGTTGAAAAACACTTTCTAGTGTTTGGCCATGCCATGAAAAATAAAATGAAAAATCACTTATTAATATTTTATTTTTATTTTTATTTTTCTATTTTATCCAACACATATATAACATTAAATATAACTATTTAACCAAAAAACTAATGAGATATAATTAATGATATGAACTATGCAAGAGTTGGAAAATCATATTTAGTTTTTAACTTAATGTTTATTAATGCATAGTTTTATAGTAACAAATATGAATTTCAATCAAATTATTAGATTGGAATGATATTTTATTAAAAAAAATTAAAGACTTTGTTTTATATATAGTTAAAATTTATTATGCAAAAATAATATTAGTTTGCTTATTGATTTAGAATTTTTTTTATTTTATTATAACTTCTTTATTATCTTTCAAACTTATTTAGGATTTTTTTTACCTATTATAAATAAAATTATTTAACTTGTATTTTAACTTTTTTATAAACTTTAATTTCATAACAATATTTGTGTATGTGTGTGTGTGAGGAAATCTCATATTTATTAGTTCTTTAATCACTTCTTTTAGGCTATCAAAAGTCAATTATTTTTATAACATTTTTTATATTTTTTATTCACAATTCTCTATAATCATTAGGTGGAAATTTTCATTTCAATAATTTTGGTGTTTTTATTTAAATAATTATTGTATTGAGCTTTTATCAACAAAATCTGATTTTAACTTTCTAGAAATTATTCTTTCTTGCGTTTAAGGTCAAGGTTCCCTTCAAGTTAACATCATATAAAAAGTATAATGATTAAAAAATAGAATTTAGTATATCATACATTTATATATAGTTTATTTTATATAATGTAACTATATATATAATATAAATATAATATTATAGACATATAACTATTTTTTAATGCTCGGATAACATGAGAAATAATTTTTTACTATAATATCCTAATTTTATAAAATTAATATGATTTAAAATATAAGATTATTGTATGATATAACATGCGTTTTATATTCAAATGTATTTTCTAGCAATATTATATTAATTAAAGTACTATATGCACATATCAAATTGATATACTTTTATATTGTATATTAATATATCTTATATATTATTTTCTATATAAATATATTAGTAATTTATTATTTTTAAATAATATTATATTTTAAACTATTTTAGTAATATATATATATATATATATATTGTATCATTTTAGTTTTTAAATATTTTATGGAAAGTGTTTTCCAATCTTTTAAGTCAAAAAACATTTTTCTCCATTATTTGAACAAAAAATAAATTTCATTAACTAGTTTTTTTGCAATGTAGTCAAACATAAAAAAAAATTAAAAAAATACTTTTCATTTAAAAACTTTTCAGAAAACAAATAATACCCCAAAAGTTAAGAAAAATATCATATATCTTTAACCACCGCATCAATCCTTTAAAATGGGATGAATCCTTTGAGAGATTTTGCTAAAGCAATATCTTAAAAATTCGAGAACTTTGAAGTGGCAAAACATGTCATGTACAAGAAAATACCGCACAGCCATAATAGCAGTATTCTCTATTGGAATTCAGTCTCAGTTGATATTCGAATTATACGTGCATACAAGCCTTCTTCATACACGGTAAGTATACAATACGTACCGTATATAGGCTTGTATGCACGTGACAACCGCTTAAAAATTAACTCTTGTATCTCATCTTCTCAGTTTGGCGGCACCGAACCCGCTAGTCTTCACTCTCCAACTCGCCAGATTCTACTCTTCCCCTTGTCTTTCTCCTTGTATACAAAATTCCCCAGTCTCACCAGCGTGGATTCAGCAGTTAGATCATCCTGTGAAATCCCATGCTTCAGTTTGAGCTTTTAAGATTTTCATGATATTAGAATCAAACTAAAATATATGGGAGACTTCGACAATTCTCTCTCTTTGTCAAGTCTTTTGTGTCATGAGAATGAAAGTTGTTTTTTCAACGACAGTATTAGTGATCACAACCACATCAAACATGACCGATCTTGTTTCGGTTTAGAAACTGAAGTTGATGTTGAATATGTAGAGAAGTTGGTGGAGCGGGAGACCATTACTTTTGGATACAGATGTCATGCGTCTTTTGGCGATTGCTTCATCACTAGCCATAATTGGTTAAAATTTGCTCGCTTAGATGCCATTGAATGGATTCTTAATGTAATTCGTTTTCTCATTTTTCGATTTCTCCTTTTCAGATTCTCTGTTTTGTTTCTGTTTCTAAAAGTTTGTGTTGTGTTCTGCTTTCAGACAAGAGCAATCTACGGTTTTCGATTTCATACGGCTTATCTTTCTGTCACTTACTTCGACCGTTTTGTTTCAAATAGACCTATTGACGTAGGAAACCTCTTTTCTTTTTCTTCTTTTTTTTTTCAAAATAAGAAACTACCAATTGATTTTGAATGTTTATGGTTAATGAATGTTATTTTATCCTTTTACAGGAAGGGAAATTGTGGGCTATCCGGTTATTATCGGTGGCATGTTTGTCATTAGCAGCGAAGATGGAGGAGCGTAAAGTGCCACCCTTATCAGAGTTTCCGGTGGAAGATTACTGTTTTGGAAATAAGGTTATACAGAGAATGGAATTGTTGGTATTGAATACATTGGAATGGAGAATGAATTCAATCACTCCTTTTGCTTATCTGCATTACTTCATCCATAAAACATGCGGTGAATCTACACCAAAAGAGACTGTTTCTAGAGCTGTGGAGCTTATTGTGGCAATGATAAAAGGTATAGTAATTTCTTTCATCCCTCCTTTGCTTATCTGCTTTACTTCATCCATAAAACGCTTGGCTTTCCATGTTTTATTCATGAGTTTAATAAATTCTTGCGTGCTATGTTTTGTGTAGAGATCGATTTGCTTTATCATCGCCCATCTATTATCGCGGCAGCTGCAGTATTAGCTGCATCCAATCGGAAATTAACGAGAAAAGAGTTGGAGCTGAAAATGGATATGATTTCATCATGGGGTTCTCTGGAAAATGTGAACTTTCTTGCCTTTGTTTGATATCTTATGTCAATTAAATTAAAGAACAGAACGTATAGAGATGGGTTCGCCTTATTGATGTTCATTCCATCTTTCCTTGCAACAGGAAAATGTATTTTCCTGTTACATCGCAATGCAGGAAATAGACATGGGAAAGGTTAAGACACCCAGACTAGTGTTTTATCCTAATTCATCATCAATACATTCTGGTTCATTTGATGTTCTTGAAAACTCTTCCCTCGTCTCTGGAGCTGGTATTAAAAGAAGCCTCACATTTAATGAATGTGATCAAACTTGCCCAGCTAAGAAAATCTGTCGGCCATAGTGTTTGATGCTTTCTTTAAAGGATTGACTTGGGTTCATTAATGAGATTTCTTTTTTGAAGAAGAGAAAAAAAACATGGATCATTGCTCATAGATTGGTTCTTATGTCTAATGAGTGTTGGTGGCCATTTTACGGTATGTTTTGGACTTGAGGACTGGTGTTACATTTTTCAACTGCCAACAAAAGAATGAGCCAAGTGACAACAAGAAGCTTACAGAGAAAAGGTAAATAAAAAGGTGTGTTAGCTTTAACCTACAGCAAGAAGTAAGCAGTTGACTGAAGTCCAAAAGCCATTAAGGTGAAGAAAGGCCAGGAGACTCCCCGACGACCATTGAAGACTGCTCGTCTATAACATTGTTTGGTTTCAAGAATCCCACCATTGCTTACCTTCCTTTTCAGTTATTGTATTTCTTTTCTTCCCGTTTTTCTTTCGTTTGTTGTGACAGTGGGTGCGATGTGTACGTACATCACTTGTAACCCCACCAATGCTTGGGATGCTTAGGTCTTTCAGAAGGCTGAAAGCCATTAGGAATGAAGAAATGTTTTTGATTGATTTGATATACCTGAGTTGCATCCGGACCTTTGAAAAGTGTACAAAGGCTAATGTGTTTAGACTTGTTGGAATGTTGGGGGTTTCCTTTTCTCTGTTAAATGGCACTGTGTTTGGGTGTTTCGGGTCATGAAGCGTACTCAGGAATTGAATTCTTTTTGCTAATTACAATGTAGTTGGGAGCATTTTGAAACATCTTCAGTATTTTCCCTGGTTTCCTAAATTAGAGACCTGCAAATAGCCAGGAATCTTGCTCTCAAGTTATGTGCTTAGTTTTATTTTTCGAAAAAGAAAACACAATATCAGGAACGCTCTCTCGAAAAGTAAAAAAAGAAGAAGCAATCTTGTTGTCATTCTTTCTCAAAGTTTCGCCATTGTTTTCACCAATATGATATGTTATACATGTGATAGTTGATTTGTGCTCTCTTCCATGGTTGCTCGTAGGGCCCATGCTATCATCATGAAGCTGGAGACCTCTGTTTTTTAGGGTGGGCGAGGGAGTTTGAGATTCATGACAAAATGGTGCCAGAGGCTCCACCCTTCCACATGCCTCCATCGGGTCCTAGGATATCCAGCCTAGCACTGTACAACAAGGTATTCTAGGCTGCGGTAATTGCAACGACTATTCCAGGAGACGGGTCACAGTGTTAGTATTTATTGAAAGTTAGGAGATGTTCAGGAATAAGATAGATGTTATAGATTAAAGTATTTTTTATTTAAAAATATAATAATATAATATTTTTTTTATTTTAAAAAATTATTTTTAATATGAATATATTAAAATAATTAAAAAAATTTAAAAAAAATTATTTTAAAAAATACAATTTAAACTGACCACATTCACAAACAGTAATTGGATTACATTAAATTACATGCTTTAAAATCTATATATAAGAAGCTACTGTTGCTTGTCCTATTATTTATAATTTTATCATCTATATATAAGAAGCTACTGTTGCTTGTCCTCAGATATTATTTATAATTTTATCATTTATTTTATTAAAAAAAATATTTTATTCATTCTATATAAAATTCTTTTAAAATAATTAAACTTTAGATGAGTAAGTCTAGATACTAAACCAGCATGCTTAGACTTTTCTTATTAAGAGTTGGATGTGCTAGGCCACCCGTGTACATTATCAAATCAATTTATTATTTTTAAAAAAAATAATAATTGATTTTTTTTAATTTCAAGAATTTATTATGGATTGGAGTGATTTGTTTTTTCATTTTTGATCTTCAAATGTTTTTTTCTACTCGATTGAATCCTTCAATTGCGAAATTCAAGACCAGTTGCTCTAATTTGCTAGGAAATGGTTAAAATGAAAGATGGAACCAAAATACAAAAAACACAAAAACTTGATATCCATTACAAAATTTACTCAAAATATTAACTTTGATCCTTTTATTTCTCAACAAAACTATTTTTAGTCCCTTTAGCTTTCCAAAAATTCCCTTTTGATATAAAACCTCATTTATTTCATTTTTTAGTTCAAAATTTGAGGTTGGAGAGAAAAAGTCACTATAATCTAGTGGTTGAGAGAAAAAATATTAGTAAGCTTCACTTATAAGATCAAAATGATAAATCTTTTTGTTAATGGGTTTTATATTATAGAGTAGTTTCATTAGAGTGTTATTTCACCTTAAAATTGCCCGAGATAATAGATTTGATCCTGGAGAGTTTTTGGATTTTAGGTTTTCTTTTTTTTACTTTTTTTAAGTTTTTTAAGGTAAAAAGATTTATTTAGGTCTTTATATTTTTTTTGTGTGTTTCTAGGAAAAAACAAATATAGTTTTATATGAATTTTTGGTGTGAAACACCCCAACCTAATTTTTTAATGACCTCTTTAGCAATCAAAATTTGAGAAGAATAGGCAATATGTAGTCTATCTTAACAAGGAACACATCACTTACTCTATTTTAGTTTTTTTCCTTAAAAATAGGGTAAATGATATGTCATTTATCCTTTATGAAATGAATATATATATATATATATATATATATATATATATATCAGAGCTCAAGCATGGGGGCTTAGGATGGCAGACCTACATGCTTAGGCTATTCTTATTATGAGTCAAATGTGTTGGGTCACCTAGGGCTGCATGCTTGGGCTTTATCTTGGATATTTTTTTTATTCAACTTTATCCTTTGATTTTTTTTATTTTTTAATAAAAATTACTTGACTTTTTATTTTTCAATTGTATCCTTCAACATTTGATTTGTTTTAAATTGGTCTTCATTATTTATTTTTTGAAATCATTATGGCTTTAGATAAATATTCTATTTTGTTGGGGCTTGATTTTAACAATTTTTATTTTTCTTGTCACCTTTTAAATTGTTTAAGTCTTTGGACTCACCAAGTCAATTGGGTCAGATTAAACTACCCTTTATATGGTTTTGATTTTTTTTTTCCTACTAGTGAATATGTTAATAGTGCCTATTTTTTTTAACTCTAAAAAAATTAATTTGATCCGTAATGAAGGGCGGGCTCATGATTTATTATTGTTTTATTCTAGCTCGTATCTTAGCACTTATTAGATACCTTTAGGGTAAGATGTTGTTTGGTTCTTCTAAAGTACTCTTATGAAGAGTTCTTAAATAGAAAATAAATATAGGCTGATGTTTGGTGTTATAGATGTAAAAGGTTTTGGGGATTTTGCTTTGCTGCTAGGTCATACTATTTTTTTCATAAAAAAATGATGTTTAGGTGTGGTAAACATTTTTTTTAAAAAAAAAGAAAAATCTACAAATCGAGTTATATACTTGTTCCATTAAGGGAAAAATGATTAGTCTCAACCAATTAAATATGAAAGGATGAAATATGATACAAAAAAACTAAATAAATCATCATTGGTCAACCCTGGTTAACATGATAAAGTTGTAACCTCAATAATCAAGCTCGAGTCAACGTAAGTTATCTCGCCAAACTTATGACCCAGATTATGTGATTAAAATAGCCTAATATATTTAAAAAATATCAACTTGTGTTAACTATTTAAACTTGTGACCCAAGTCATTAGACTTGATGCACTCTATCTAGAAAAAATATGAAACTCAATTCTCATTTAATCAAATATTAAAAAAAATTAAAAAAAAAAGAAATTTTAATTATATAAAAGGATTAAAAAAATAGAAATTAAAAGAATAAGGATTAAAATTATAATAGAAAATAAATTTAATATTTTATTGAAGGGTGATATCAAAAATAAAAACACATTAGCAAATGGACCCAAAAAAACATTTCAAAAAATGAAGATCAAAATTGATATATAAAATAAATTTTATATCTCAGTAAAAGGTGAGATGAAAAAAATATTAGAAAAAGAATCTCAAAAACCCCACAAGAATAAGGATCAAATTGGTAAAAATAATATACCATTAATTTAGATAGAAGGACGAGATTGATAAAAAATAAATAAATAAACTTTTACAAAAAAAGAAAAGCCAAGAAAAAAAATTAGAAATCAAAAGAATTAGAATCAATTTGAAAAATATTATATAGAAAAAATTGAGATTAAATGATGAAATTGAAAACAAACAAAATATTTATAAAATGATAGAGGACAAAATTAAAATACCAACAACAAAGAGGACCAAACTATCATTTTTAAAGGGAAGAGAGAGAAAGAAAAAAAAAAAACAAAATGGCTAATTGGTGACAAAACAACCACCCAACACTGATAGGCATTGCCTTGCACGTGTTGTTCAAAAGACGTGAGTGTCTTCTATAAGTTGGTGCATACCATACACACATTGATACTTTTTTTTTATTTTTTTTATTTATAAAAAGATAAAATAGCTCCTAAACTAACTTGATAATAATTAAAAAAAACCTTTGTAAAAAGGAAAAAAATCCCTTTGAGGTTAATTTTAATTTTTTAACTTTCAAGTGTATTTTGGTTGTTTCATTATGCATTTTGTTTTTATTTTCTATGTTTAGTCAAATACTAAAGTGCCCCTCATTTTACATGATAATTATATAAAAAAATTATGAAAGTAACAAATTGCTACTTGAAGCTAGTTTTAATTTTTTTTTAATCTTAAAAGGTATTTTGGTCATTTTATTGTGCTTTTGAAAATGTAAAAAGACTTACTTGCTCCTGATAAATTTGATAATGAATAATACACCTTGCAAAAAGACTTTAATGTTTAATGTCTCCAATAGTTATTTTTTATTGTTTTTGGTGTGAAGGACAAAATTATCATTATATTATTTTGAAGAACAATGTTTTTTTAGTTTAAGTTTATAGTGTTTTTTCCCAGGCCTGTTAGCTTCTCTTAATATATGTACTCTAGCCATCGTTACATTATATTATTACATATTATTTTACATTTAAGAGAAGTTACAACAATATTTTTAGATACATTTAGAAACCTCTTTAAGCTTTACAATTTCATCTATAAGTTTTATTATTTTTAAAACCAAAGTATATAAAAAATATTTTTCTAACAATTTATTTAGGACTTTCAATTCTTCCTCAAGGCATATTGTGAACTGAACTTGCTTATTATATGTTACTGTATATGCTTTATAGTCAATTAATTGGTTATATGTGATTTTGATTTTGCTCATGATAAAACATATTTATTATTAATAAATACTTTTTTTAATCTTTAATATTCATTTATGTTTAATTAATTTATATAATATTTTATTAATAAATTTAGATTAAAGATAAAGTCTTTAAGATAAAAAATAATTTGCAAAGAAAATTATAAAAGTGGTAAAATGGTTAAGCTTTTCATGATCAAGTTCATGGACTATGTCATTATATGGTGGGATCAATTTGTGTTAAGTTATAGAAGGAATCATAAAAGGCCTATTGAAACTTGGGGTGAGATGAAGGCTATTATAAAAAGATGATATATTTTTAGTCATTATTATAAATAATTGCACTAAATATTGTAATATTTGAGCCAAAGTATAATGAGTATTGATGAGTACCACATAGAGATAAAGATCATGATGATTTGACTAATGTAGTGGAGGATAGGAAAACCACTATAGCTAGGTTCTTGAATGAAATGAATAACAAAATCATGAATATTATGGAGTTAGAAGAAACGGTGCACATGTCAACAAAAATGAAGAGATAAATCAAATATAAAGGTAGTTCACGACCAAGC